ATGAACGAAAAAATTTTTAACTTGATGGGCTATATTGAAATAAAATCAAATAACCCTTAGTATAAAAGATCCGAGTATTTTACAATCTGATTTTTTAGTAAAATTTGAATTTATGATTAAAATCTAAATTCAATTCAAATTAAGGTTGAAATAAATAATTTAGAAATATTTATTTCAAAGATCTGATCAAGGCATTAAAGCATCATTGCCTCTAAAAGATAGCCCTATTCATAGCTGAGATCTAGAAGAAAGACAGGTTGACTATAAATTCCCTGGTGATGATATTCTATTGTGATTGTATTATTTTTTCTTCAACTTATAGAACAACATTAGGCCCTTCTAAGAGCCGATTAAATTCGTTGAAAAAAGGATTTTAATGGGGAGAAAAATCTTATATCAGACTTAGAATGATCATTGTTTCTTCCTGTGCCGAATTTGGTGAAGGGCTTCTTTATAAAATATAATGAATAATATGATAATATGATTAGTGTTCATAAACAATAATATTTAATATAAAAATTGTCTAACTGATCTAGAACTACTACAAAATATTTTGTGCGTTAATATCGTAAATTTAAGGAAAGAATAATGTTATGATTCAATTTTTTATTTGATTATATTGTGTTATCAACTAGTAATTAAGGAATAGCTTAAGTTAAACGTAGGATTTGATTTTAAATAATATTTATTAATCCAAATTTTTAGGTTGATAAAAAGATTAATTAATAAAATAAGAAATAATTTATGAATCCCAGTCTGCTTGTGTAATTCAATTATGATTATAAAAAATTTTAAATGATTATTGTTAATTTTATTTTTAAAATTCAAATATGCATAAGATTAGTTTATCAATTTATCATCACATTCTTCATCCTGATTTATAATGCCATACCCAAAAATAGATATAATAGCCTGGATTTAAAAGATAATATTTTCTATTTGATTTAACACTTCATTTATATACTCATTATTCAAACTTAATTTATAGTTTTCTATTCTGACATTCATAATATAACAATAATTATACAATAACATATATCCTTATTTACATGATTGATACAAAATATAAAATGCTTCTGAAATACTAAGGCTGAGCTTACGAATCATATTGATGATTTCAAATTATGTTTAAGCCCATAAGAACCTTCAAAGATAAGACATCCATTTCAAAAAGAATATATATATTTATGAATGGTGTTTCATCAACAAAATCTTTAAAATAAATCTATTTTTTTGTAATTGATATAAATTGTCATAATTAATATCTATTCTATCATCATTCTATAACATTTATGGACTCTCACAAGTTTTTTATTTATATTATATGAATGAATGATTAACAAGAAACCTATATATCACAGAATAAGCAATTATCAGTGCAATAATCTGTCATAATTTCAATACCTATCATTCTCCAACCAATAATGAATTTCTAATCTATCATAAAATATATTTTATAATTCCTATTACTGTGAATAAAGATGGATATTGAGGGATAACAAAGTATCCATAAATATTACATATAATTAACTGTTGGTACTTTATCTAAATAACACGATTATGAATAAATTTAATAAGAATTCCATAATAAATCGGAATTTCATTAAATAGAATTATTGATATTTGAATTCCAACATTTTAGCTATTTATCGCACAATCTCAGAAAGACTTAAAATATTCCATTATTATATTTTATTATTCCATAAAATACTAAACTATTGATCAAAAGATCTATTCAGTATATTAGATAGATAAATTGAATTTTATATATTAGTTAAAATAAATCAAGCATTTTTTATGAACACCAATAACAAAATCCTTTTAAGCATAATGGTTCAATAAAATTACGTTATCGTAGAAAACCTTAATATTTGATAAATTTAAAAGAGATTCTCAAGTTTGAGTAATAACGAAAAATGGGCTGACAATAAAAACGATGATTTCCCTTATTTTTGGTATAAAATATATAACAGCTTATTCATTTCATCAATAAATTTGATCCTGTGATTTGAGAAATTCGATTAATTTATGTCAATATATAGTTTTAATTAATTTCAAAACATTTTGATAAAAAAAAGATTATTAATAATTGTAGATTATTCTTCATTTACAAAAAATACCACTTTGAACAAATATGTAGGAATATAAAAAATTACATCTAAATAAACAATCCTAACCAATTATTTATTTAGAATTTATGATTAAATAAATAATATTTTTTCTAATTAATAATTATAAAAAAATCTGATTATAAAAATAATAATATATGTATCATAAATAATATTAATATATATAATGATTGATATAATAGTTTTCAACATAATTCAAAACAATTACCTTCTTATTCTTTTGACACCTAGCCCACAATAAATAGCTATTCTATTTTAAATTCCATACTCTAAGTAATCTTTTAAAAATCTCATATAAATATTAAATATTACTGATAAAATTGTTTTAAGTATATCGATAATGTAATAATAGAATGTATCAAAAAAATAATAAAATTATTTGCTGTTTATAAATGGGAAGAATTAATTCATTTATTACTTGTTAAAATTTCTTATATTAAATTAGTTTCATAAAGACTACTTCTTTCATATTTTTAATTAAATTTTTAAATGGTTATCATAAAAAAATGTTAATAATTAATTCTATGATATTATAAAAAACTTTAGTAAATAATATAATATTGTTTGATATTATTTATTTTATTGATATTGAAAAATATTTTATCTTATCTGATATTTAATTTTAAAATAGAATGTGATCAATTATTAAGTTAAAGAATAATAAAAAATTTGCATAAATTTTACAAAACAATATAAAAAATATTATGCTATTTTGTGAATTTATTGATTCTTATATAGCTTTCTTTTTAGTATAAATTATTGAATTTCTAAAACTAAACTCTAAAAAATATTCAAAATTCAAGTTTTCAATTCGCTTGATTGATAATTAGAAGAATTTGATTCTCTTTAGGCATTTAAAAAAAACTCCTCTCAATCTTATTTAAAGTAAAATTGCATTTTAGGCCAAAATTTCTCAACAAAAAAAGCTAAACATTTTAAAATTCTAATGTAAATGTCATTTTTATAATGAAAATATTTCATTAAACAAATGAAATTCAAATCAAATATAATCCATGCATCATACAATAAAAGCTAAGCCTCAATTAGAAATCATTTAGATGATTATTAAAATTCTTTGCTCTTCATATTATTTGGAAGCATAAATAATATAAATTAAAGAAAAAAAAAATGCGTATTAATTTATTCTCTATTAATAAATTAAGATAAATTATTTTATTTTAGATCTTTTTCTATAATATGATTTATTTAATAAAAAAAAATGTACAAATATAACCTGATTTTGCAAATAACTATTCTTCTAAACTTATTTTAGTATTGCTTAACATTATAATAGATAAATTCAATCAATTTGCAATTACATCAGTACAGAGGCAATAACAATCTCCAAACCAAAGCAAGAAATAGATGTTGAATTAAAAAGCGAGATTTTGAATTCTTAAGAAAATATTGGATATGGTTTATGGGTTAAATATTAACCTTTCATTCCAATATCAGATGTAAGTATTGTACAATTAGTGATAGGTCTCGTCAGATTCTACAGAAATGACATCATCATCATCATCATCATTGTAGTTCATATATTTACTGTAATAAAAGTAAACAAAATAAAATATGTTGACATTTTACATTTAAATTTCTGATCAAACATAGACCATAACTCATAATGTATTTTATACATTTCAAAAAAAAATTGATACTTTAGTATTTGAATTTGAACATGAAAAATATGAAGGGTAATGGATATTATTTTATTTCTTTTTTAATCTCTAATCAAAATATACTACGATAGGGTTTAAATCATTGGAAAAGACAATTACACCAAAAGTATAAATATTAAATGACATACCTGAACTTGTTCAAGAGATTAGACATTAAATAGGAGGAGAATAGGAGATATCAAATTTCTAGGGGAAGAACTTACATTTAACCTAGTTTTTAGGAAGAATATCAACAGTTTTCAGTTAGGGATCAGTTAATATATTTGAAGATTTGGAGACATTTTTATTACATTGTTAAATTGCATCGGAATGTTATGAATCTACATATAAACTTTCAAGTACAAATTAAGCATTTCTTGGAGAGGATTATTTTTTTGGTACTACAATTGTGCTCGAATATCCAATATATGTAATAAAAGGATGGTTAAAATTATTGCCATTTGAGAAATCACCTTTAGACACTGTAATATTTAGAGTGACAATAAATCAAGACTACTAAGATGACATGAAAATTGGAGATAAAGATATATATTTGTAATATTTTCAAAATAACATCCCAGAATCAAATGGATTTTCTATAACTACTTATTCATATAATTTTCCAATTTTTAATAGGTACACAAGTACTACTACTGATGTGATAAGTGATTTTGGAGCATAATATTAGGAATTACTTATTAAATGGCACTATATTTAATATGAAATTGGTACAAATGATAACTAAGAGTAACCAATTTTTCAGATGTATTTCCCATCATTAATTGATAAGCAGAAGATTTTTCATTGGAGCAATAAGATCAAACATTTCACAGGAACAAAAATGTATTATTATATTGGAGGGGATAAATATAGTAAAAATTATTTACAAGGATACATAAGTGATATGTAATTTATCTCTTATTGTACAATTCCTATTATTTCACTATCTCCTGAATGTCATTATTCATGTCTCACTTGTAATGGTCCTAATTATAACAACTGTTTATCTTGTCCATCAGATAGTCAGCGAATCTAAGATGTAAGTTAAAAGATTTGTGCTTGCAAAAAGAAATATTTAGATATTGAAAATGAACCGATTTGCAAACTAGTATCAGAAGTCTTTCCATAAATTTAAGAGATGGAGTTGAAGTTATAATGCGATTTCCAAGGTTATGATGTTTGTATTGAAGAGTGGACATAATGTTCATTTGGGTATTTCTTGTATCAAAAAAGATATTGCTTATAATGGTATAATGTAAATAAATAATAGTCCTGGTTATTTATCATTTAATACAAGAAATATGATTTAGTGTTCAAACTGTTTGTTTTACCCAGATGAATTTCAGAATGACCTTCGGTGTACTCATGATACAATCACATATAAATATAATGAAGATTTTTTGTATAAAACAGTAAAAAGAACTAACAGAGATATTGAAAAATATTCTATAATAGAAAATATAAAAGGAGATTATGAAGTATTTCTATACTTGGGATTTGATGATTACTGTTAAGAAGGATACTTTTTAAGAGATAATAATTGTAATCCCTGTTCAAAAGGATGCCATACTTGCCACAATGAATTGATTTGTCAAATTTGTGATTCAGGCTATGCTTTAACAAAAGATTATTCTTGTACACAATTTTTAGGATGTACAGATTGTTCAATAGAATTGGGGAAAGTTTTACGCATGACATGTGCAACTGGAACATATCTATCATCTAATGGATCTTGTATATCTTGTGGATTAAATTGTTAGAGTTGTGATTCTAATGGTATTTGTCAATACTGTAATGATCCTTCTTAATATTTTAAAAGTTTTGATGGTCATAATTGCCAACCTTGCAGTATCATAAATTGTGTTTATTGCTATTAATATTTTGTTAAAAATGGAATTACTTATACAACTCTTGATATAAAATAAGAAATCCTTGAATTAACTTAAGAGTAGTTCTTTATTGGATGTGCACTCTGTTAAGCTAATCTTTATTATAATTAAGTAACATTGACTTGTGAACAAAAACCAGTTAAATCTTCAACTATTAATGATTGCACTTTCGGTCTCATTGTTAATTCTTCTGGGGATACTGAATGCTTAATAAGTACTACAAGTATAGCATCTATATAAAATGCAGATTGCTTTTCAATTTAAAAATGTTAAGAATGTATTAAAAAATATAGATAAGCAATTACTTTTTGTATAATTTGTGAAGAAGGGTTTTATTCTTCAATATTAACTGGTTAATGTTTATAATGCGATTCTACTTGTCTGAAATGTGTGTAATAGAGTTAAACTTATCAAGATTAATGGAAGTGGAATATAAAGGCTTATTATAAATATGTTTTCAATTAAGATGATACACACCCTTTTGAATTATACGCTGTTCAGAATGATTTTGAAGTAATTTGCACATCCTGTCCATTTGGATATATATTAGACAAACATAAGTGTATAAAATATTGTGATTCAGAATGCAATAAATGCGAAATAATAAATGGGGTTGCCACTTGTATATAATGTTAGGAAACTCCATATGGATTTTTTAAAAGTTTAGATTCAAATGGAAAATGTTTAACTTGTCCAAGTTATTGTGCAGCATGTTTAGAAAGGGATGATGATACAATTACGTAATTTAATCCTTACTTCATTCCTTCTACCACAAACCTAAAATATACAAGACTTTGTTATGAAAAATTTGATTTAGATCCTTTTGAAGGCTAATTCTTTTATGAT